GGCCGCCAGAGACCCTCCGTCAGGCACGGCGGGAGTGGCGGGAGTGGGTACTATTGCGGGTGCGGCGACGGAGGCGACTACGGTGGCGGCGGCGGCGGCGGCGAGACAGCCACCAATGTCCGCGTACGTTCGTTCGCACTTTTGAGGATGATGAGACTTGTGCTCGTGTCCGGTAGACGGCTCCGCTGGGAACTTTAGGGTAATAAAACTACCAACTTCGCGAAGTAGTAATAGCGGCTGCCGCGCATGGCAGGAAGGGGGGCGGGGAGGGGGGGGGAGGGGGAGGGGGGGGGAGGGGGAGGGGGGGGAGGGGGGGGGGGGGGGGTGGGGGGGGGTTCGACTTTCAGAATTGGCTTTTTGTTTCGGCTGGAGGATGTCATTTTTAATTCCAAGCTAGAACCCCGAACCCCGCTCTCCCTCCCCTCTCCTAACAGGCGGCGCGCGGCGAGGCAGCGGCTGGCGCTGCTGAAGCGGCGGATACCGCGCGACGGGTACATGTGGCTCAAGTACGGGCAGAAGCAGCTCACCGGCGGCACTCACGGAAGGTGCGTGCAGCGTCCCACACGCTAACGTAATTTCCTAGGCACACGGGGATACGGCGCAACAGGTGCATGTGGCTCAAGAACGGGCTATCTCTCTCTTGGGGTGTTCTACCGAACATCAGTTTGCAAGGCGTTCGGACTCGGAAGCCCTATTTCGTTGCGTCGGTTTTGGGAGGACGCGAAATATGGCGGTGGGTTAGGTTGGGTGCTCGTGCGTAGCAACCCTTACGGATTCAACTCACGCGCGAAACGAAACGGAGAAAATGATTTTTGACGTTTTGTACGCGCCTTCGGTGTGCTATTCGTCGATTTTGAGCGAGATATCTGCTCGTCAAATTTCCGCCGTCTGATTAGGGTTTCGTTACTGATCTCTCAGCTTATCGCATCCCCCGCTTCCTGTGCCTCGTACCCCGTGTTCCTATATCAGGCACTACTACCGCTGTAGTCACTTCCGGCAGCCGAGCGAGTGTCGCGCGCGTCGCGTGGTCGATTTCCACAAGCACGACGCCAAGAGCCCCCTCCAAATCACCTTCTTCGGCGAACACAACCATCCGCCGCCGCTTCATCGCCCGCAACCCGCGCTACCCGCTCTACCCGCTCTACCCGCGCAACTCGCGCAACCCGCGCAACCCGCGCCACCTCCTACTGGTACCTCCTCCCTCGCCGCTGCTGCTGCCGCACAGGGAGTTTTCGCAGGCGCGACCGCCCCCAGAAGCAGCCGCCACTCCGCGGATGGGCTCAGGCTCCGCCTGCCCGATGACGTCAACGGCTCCGCGCTGGCAGGCGGACGCGCCGCGTCTGCTGGCGGAGGTGGAGGCGGAACGCAAGCTGCTGCTGCTGGTGGTGCTGCTGCTGCTGCGGGTGGGTTTTTGCCTGGAGGGGAAGAAGTCGGGGATCAAGCGGGGCTGCCATCAGGCCCGGGGGGAAGGCTGCCTTACAGTCTCGCCGAGCTTGAGGTTCTCGCAGTCGCTTTCCGCGCCGCTGCTGCTGCCGCTGCCGCTGCCACTGCCACTGCCGGCAATACAAATGCGCGAGGCGAGGGCTCGAGCGGCGAAACGGACGCTACTACCGCCACTGCCACTACTGCTGCCGCCATTGGGAGCGCACTTTCGCATGGCGTGGCAACAGGCGCTGCTGCCAGAGGCGTGAGGACAAGCGGTGGTGTCGCAAGCAGCAGCCGTGCTCATCCCGGTCTTGGAGGTAGTAGCGGCATGCCGACTGGTGCCGAGAGGGAGCAGCAGCTGCTGGAAACGCTCGTGAACTGGCTGACGTCACCCGTGGCGTCACCTGGCTCCGGTTCCGGCCCCGGCTCCGTCTCTCTCACCCCCCGCCCCTCCTCCGCGCCTTCCCCCCGGGATCACCATTTCCCCATGCAGGTCGGCTCTCTGCTGTCGCCCGGATCGGCCCTTGCTGCCGCCTACCCTCACTCTTCCTCCTACCCCTCGTACCCCTCGTCTGCTGCCTCCACGCCCACCAGCATCTCATCAGCCACTGGCTCGGTGCAGTTCTCTCAGCAGGCCATGACGGCTGCAGGCAGCAGTAGCGGAGTAGCATCGGCACTACCCTCCCCTGCTGCTGCTGGTGCTGTTGCCGCTGCGGCTGCCTTTGCTGGCGCGTCTGCGCAGAGCCAGCAGCAGCTGACGGCGGCGGTGATTCTGGCGCACCTGCTGGCTGCACAGACGCTCCAGGGAGCCTCCCCAACGACGCCTAACCCCGTGCATGAGGCACATAAAGGAGTGCATGAGGTACATGGGGGGCCGCATGATGCTCAAGGGGGTTCGCATGAGGCACATGGGGTGGCACAGCGGCCTATGAATGAAGCACAAAAAGGGTTGCTCCACCTTCCGCCTGAATCGCCTGGAGGATTGCGTGGGCCACATGGGGTTCCGCAACACCCTGGGAATGCACTCCGAGGCTCCTTGTCCTCCCCTCCCCGCCCTGCCATGTCGTGCCCTCCAGAGGGCCGACTTCCCCCCCCCCGCCCCTGTCCATCCCCCGCCCTGCCTCCTCTCCTGCCGCTTATCTCTCAGCCTCTGCTGCCATCACCTCGCCACGTGGCACAAGTGTGAACTGCCAAGTCAGCACCTGGCCGCCAGCTCAGAGGCAGGAGATTTCTGCACCGTGGAATGCAGGACAGGGCTTTGAGTTTAGTGCTGAAAATGGGGATATGCAGCTGTGGCAGGGGGCAGGGGAGGAGGTGGAGGTGGAGCAAGGAGGGATGGCTTGGAATATGATGGACCAAGATTGTGAGGATGCTGGGGAGCTGCAGCTGCAGCAGCTGCAGGAGCTGCATCAACAGCTGCGGAGACTGGCAGAGCAGAAACATGAGCAGGAGCAGCAGCAGCAGCAACAACACCAAGAGCGGTGGCAGCAGCAACAGCAGCAGCACCAGGAGCGGCAGCAATGGAGGCGGCAGCAGTTGCTGCTGCAACACCTGGAGGCTCAGCTGGAGCAACGGGGGCAGGCAGACGCACCTGTGACGCCGTGCACTGACGACCCTGGAGCAGTGCTCACTCCCTCCTCCCTCACTGCATCTGCGATCTCCCCAGCGGCCTTGGCCCCTGCAGTGTCGTCTCCTGCTGCATTGGCCTCTTCAGCAATCTCCCCGGCCACCTTGACCCCCTCTGCCTTAACCCCCCCATCCCAGCACTACCGCGAGCCGTCCTTCTCCGAGTTCCTGCGCCTCCCTGACATGAGCGCCATCCATGCAAGCAGAGCAGCCAGGCTCTCAGGCCATGCTCACAACAGTAGTGGCGGCACCAGTGGCCAGCTGCAGCAGCAGCAGCAGGACCAGCAGCAGCAGCAGCAGCGGCAGCGGCAGCTGCCTGCTTCCAGGAGCTCACATCATTCATATGGGCGTACGTTTAGTGCACCACATCGACACCCGCAGCTGTTGCGTCCTGGAGAAACAGCCATCAGACCCAGCAGCGGTGCCAGCAGCGGTGCCGCGCCGGCCCGCCCGCTTTCACCTCTTGCGCCCGCCCCCAGGCCATTGTCGCAATTGTCTCACCTAGGCACTTTTCACCCACCTTCCACCCACCAAAAGCCACAAGGATTGGGGAATAAGAGGCCGGGAGACACTGCATCGCATGAGCTGCTGCGGCCACCTCAGCGCATGCCACGGTCCGTAACGGTGCCTGCTGCACCCGCAGCCTCGTCACCAGCAGCAGCAGCAGCAGCAGCGGCGGCGGCGGCGGCGGCAGCAGCAGCGGCAGCACTGCCACCGCTTACATCACCTTCTGACATGCACCCAGCACAGACGCAGCCAAGGATGTTGATTTCAGAGGATGGCTCAGGCGCGCTTCAGGTGACGTCCCACTCCCTATCAGCAGATAAAGCAGATTCCACCGTCGAGGCCCGCGATTTTGGTCCTGGGAGTGGGACTTTTCAGCTCCCCGAGTCTGGTGGTGGAAATGGTGCCAGTGCAAGCGCAGAAGCAGCCCTTTCTCATCTTCAAAGGCAGCCGCAAGAGCAGGCTGGAGTTAGTGCTGGCCATTTGTTTGCATTCACCAAGGGTGCGACTTCAGCAGCAGGGTAGGGGTGAGTAGGCAGCAGCGCACCGCCACACACGTGAGCCCTTTTTTGTCCGAGGAGGATTTAAGGGAAGTGAGAGAGGCTGCTGGGACTGGGATTGGTGGTTTGCTCATGCAGAAACCAGGAGAAGGTCTTGCAGACCATGGGCCAGCAGCAGCAGCAGCATTGTCCAGCTTGTTGCAGCAGGGGGATTTGAAAAGTCTTATCGAGGCATTGTCGCACGTGAAGGCGAGTGATGAGCCAGGGCCAGGAGGCGAGGAAAGGGGCGTCAACTCTGCACAGTTCCCAATAAGTAGGGTCAATCCCAGTGCTGGGAATGCCTTTGCACAAATGAAAGGAAGCGGGAGGGACGGACAGTTGCCTACAGGCAGCTTTTTCTCTGGAAATCAAGGTGGCTGTTACACTGCTGGTGCTGCAATAGGTGGCGAGGGACTGGTTCGGTTCGCATCTTTTGATGTGGCAGGCGCGGTCCAGGACAGCAGTGATTTGCTGCAGAAACAGATTCAAGAGGCCATGAATCAACAAGATATGGATGCCGCCCTGCTTGCTCTTGCGGGCTCTTCTGCTGCTGCAGATTTTGCGGGCGACACTGCCATGGGCGGGGAGGGTTCTATCAGCTACAGCGGAAGCAAACAAGCTTCGCATTCCCAGGCAAATGGGCACAGTCAAAACTCAACAGGTCAAGGCCATTCGCCTGGCAGTGGGAACGATGACAATGCACTGGCGATGATGGCACTGCTGAGATCCATGTCAGAAGCAGACGATATCGTGACACTAGATGGGTGATGATGATGGAGCCCATCTTCGTCTGCTGCTGTGCTGACTCTGGAGTTTAGCATGTGCGTCTGGCAGATCAGAAGTTGTTTCCCTCCCTGTATTTTAAATTAAAATACCTGTTGAGCCATCTGCAAAATGGTACATTTTCAGTGGTGGAAAATGTTGTAAAGCCAATGGTGGAAGCACCAGTAGAAGCATTTCTTGCATGACAAGCCGGAACTGCTGGGAAATGAAATGGTCAACGTATGAAGCTCTTGCAGAACTTGCTGGGGACTCGGGTATCTTGATAAGGCTTGGGAGCACGAAAATGGCATACATTCCTTCGTCCAACCGATGAAGAATCAACTGTGAAAGAAGATATGGTGAGAGAGGCAAGGACACAGGAAGCTGATAAGCACTAGCAAGCAGCTTCTTACACATCTGGGATTTGATATTCAGCCAAGGAATCAGTGTTTTCCTTCCAGTTCAGAACGACAGAATCACCAGTGGGAGAAGAAACGGCGCTTGGGAGCCTCTCAGAAACACTATCGCTTGTTTTTGTCCCGTCTCCGTCGCTTCTTCTCCTTGTGCTTGTTCATCTTCTTCCGCCGTTTCCGCTTCACGCTGCTGGCCAGCAGCGGCAACGCGCTCCCACACCCCGGACTCTCGAGCGGACCGCCTCTCAAGTTAGCAGCAGAAGGAACGGAAAGAGCTGGAATGAGCTGGACTCTCTCAGCGGTTGTAGAGCGTGGCACCGGAAATCTCAGAGGAAGATGGCTTGCAGCTGAGCAGGTAAGGCGTTCATCCACCAGTTGGCCGGGCTACCGACAGGCTGATACGCAACGGAAGCGCTACCATGTCGAAACTTGAGACCCCCTGGTAGCGAATCGTTCCAGCCAGCTGGTTCGAGCCGAAAATCACGTAACGGGACGCCGGGAAATCTATTCTGATAGAGATCGGCTCGATAAGGACCCGATCGTTCTAGATCAGACGCGGAAGCCGAAAAGGCCCTCTGGTTCCTTCCTGCTGTTCCGGCAACGGGGTTAATGCGTCGTCCGGCAGAAGGCCATCGTAAGAGCAGCTGACCTATAGCAATGGCTGGTCTTCGCCCACGCTCCATGGCTGTGACTACTAGGAAGTCATACGTGAGTACTTGACCACATAGTAAGGGCTAGGAGGTGATGTCACGAATGTACAGGGCAGATCCTGTGGCCCAGGGATTCTCTGACTGGAACAACGCAAAAGAACAATCCATAACAGTACACTAGCATTTCCAAATAATCTCGAAATCTAAGTACGTTTTTGCCTGCTCTTGTCATCAACACCGTGTGACGTTTTGCATGTTCTTGGCCGCTTGGCATCCCGATCCAGGATTTCAAAAAATTATTCCTGACTTGTAAACCACCCATGATAAAATATACGTCTCCCAATTGGGAATGGAATGGAACACAATAGCTTGCCTCTCTTGCCAAAAAAATGTTATGTATCACAAACGCTAGGTAGCTAGGAAGCCATGAAAATGGCGTGAGGGTTTACCTAGGAGAAAGTTACGAGAGAAAAGATAGTGAGAATAGAAGAGAGCAGGGCCTAAGATATCAACCTTAAAGCCCTGGTTTGCTTTAATTTCAATGGCTGTTTTTTCTGTTGTCTATGATTTTCCAGTGTTTGCAAACTGCCCATTGAGACTTATTCCTGAACAACAGGTCCCTCACAAGCCTTTGTATCATTTGCATTAGCCAATGCCAAGATATGGACTGGAAGCGAAACCCAAATCAGCCTAAAAATTCTGATATTTAAGGGCCTGGAAGAGAGGCATACAAGGAGGGGGGTTGTACCCTTTACAGTTGGTTGCAATAACACCTACCAAGCCTACCAATTATATAACAAAATATATAATTTTAATATTCTGGGTAACTATATATTTTTTACTGCATAATTTTTTCATATAATTGCTTAATGGATGAACGAATGCGGGCTATAATAGTTTGTCTGTTGTTCCTAAGCTGCAAGAACCAACATCAAAATGTTGAACAATTTTGATGACAATGCCTATCTCACTACACGAGGTGATATCAGGGCATCCAAAAAGGGATGGATTTCAGCCCACCAATCCCTGCTGATGATTGATTGACCTGCACGAGAGTGGAGAGTCGAGAGTCGAGACGAGACTCGAGACCACCACCACACCTCCTGCCACATCATCCTACTCGCAGCCCACCCTATTCTCGCTTCAGATCGACGGCTTGAATCAATAAGCAATTATGGACAGTTTATACGGAGCGGTAGGATCCCTTTCGACCACGCATAGCTAGCGATGCGCAGGCATCCAGGTCCCCCGCCTTATGGTCCCCGTCGCGCGGGATCCGGCGCGCCCGCTGGCGCGCACGGCTATAGTGGCGGACAGGGTTACACTGGCAGAGGCGAAAGTAGCGGTTATGGCGGACACGGTTACACCGGCGGAGGCTTTAGCGGCGCCAACAGCAGCGGCGGTGGCGCAGCTAGGGGTCCGCGCGGAGGCAAGCCGACGTACGCGCAGCATCCCTCCGCGCAAGCCCCCGCCGCGCAAGCTCCGCCAGCGGCGCAAGCAGCCCCGCCTCCCCCTCCGCCAACCCCCGTGAACCCCGCCATTGCGGAGGCTGGCGCGCGAGCTGTGAGGTGGCTAGAGGAGGCAGCTGACGTTGCGTCGCGTGGAACGGCCAGCGCCGATTCTGGGGCCAGTCATGTCTCGACAGCTGGCAGCGATGGTTTTCCCCAGGAGGTGCGAAGATTCCGAAGGTCGTTTTTCGCGGCAGGGTTAAGAGACGTCTATCTAAAGCCATCGTGTGAATCCTACCTCACTTCGTAACCTACCTCGCGTGCAATTTTTAGCCTTTGTTGTAACTTCTGTCTAACATCCCACTCCCGTTTCATCCCCGTTATGGACCTGTCGCAGGTGCAACTCATAAGGCGAGTGGCGTCGCTTCTGCAGCAGTCCCCCATGGCCCCTCAGCTGCTGGCCGTGGAGCCCACAGCCAGCCGCATCTGGTCGCTGCTCGAACGACTGCTCGCACACAGGTGTGCTACTAACGGGGGGTGCCGTCGTATATGAGTGTTCCTTAAGCGGGGGTTGGGGGGGGGGGGGGGGGTGACATCTATGATATGATGTTCCTTCATGGATGGAGGAGATGGGCCCATGATCCCATCCCATACATGCTCAACGAAGAGGGTGTTAGTCATGATGCTCAAACACTGGCAGCCTCCCCTCCCCGCTTCTGAGGCGTCTCAGAAGGTTGACTTCCATGATGTTCCCCACAGGGACCCCCTCCCTCCCCACCTTCCCCCCTTCTCCTCCCTCCAATCAGCAGCAGCGTCTGCCGTTGGCGGGGCAGCATCATCTGGCACTGGCGTTGCAGCGCTGACACTGGGCTCCAAGTCTCCCACACATCTTTGAGGCGCCTCAAAACTTGACACTGGGCTCCAAGTCTCCCACACATCTTTGAGGCGCCTCAAAACTTGACACTGGGCTCCAAGTCTCCCACACATCTTTGAGGCGCCTCAAAACTTGACACTGGGCTCCAAGTCTCCCACACATCTTTGAGGCGCCTCAAAACTTGACACGGCTCCAAGTCTCCCACACATCCCCATCCCTGCCTCTCCCTCTCTCCCCCCTCCGTTCCCCCCAGGGATGCCGTCATCCAGTCACCAGCAGCGTCTGCCAATGGCGTTGCAGCTTTGGGCATCGGGGTCTAAGCCTTCCCCGCACCCACTTCCCTACCTCCCCTCCCCCCCCCCCCACCCC